CATGCTTTTTCTTTTATAAATTGAATTTCTCCAGGTTTGCTTTTTAATTTCTTTTGACCGTATATATATCTTATTTTTTAGTTTGATTAATCAAAACTAATTTTATCCTGATGTTGTATTTTAACTGCGATTGGTAAAGTAAACTGACACGTGAGTAGAGGTCAAAGAGGCAAAAGCTCCGGTTTGACCGAGTGTCGCCGGTTGTGTCACGGCCACGGAAATTAGGTTCCACTCAGGTGACCGTTTTGATTATGGGTCCCACTTAATTTGTACTTCTCAACCAATAAAACGTTATTCTAATGAACAGTAAATAACATATATTTTCACAGTGTGAGTGGAAAAAATGGAATTCGCATAGTGACACGTCACTAAAGATCTCGTGATTGTATACGTGTCGATATCTTAGTCGGTGTCAGGCCTAGTGTAAGAGACTCCTTCAGGCTTCAACAGTCAAAAGCCCAAAAGAAAAGCTGGCTTTGATTTTCTTTTAGTATTGTAATATTGAATTTCTGACTGTTAATATTTTTTTTTGTTAAAAGTCTGACTGTTAATATTTTAGAGAACAAAAAAATAGATGTTCCGATTGGAATGTCTTCAGATGAGAAGAAATATAGTTTTCTTTGTTGTTAAATTGATTGGTTTTTCTTCTTCATTGTCAACTACTAATAAAGTTATAAGTTTATAAGAAGTTGACACAAAATGCAATTTTTGTGTCTAACGGTTTCTTTGGAAAATAGGAAAATATTAGCTGCGAGAATAAATAATGTTTTTGATATTTTAGGTTTTAATTCAAGAGAAACAAATTTTTTTAAAACCACATTGCTGACAAAAACCATTTAAAGATATCAGTTATCTTCCGCTTGTCTTAGAAAGTAAATAACGTTTAGAACGAACAAAAGTTTAAACAATTTAATTTGCTGTAATTTAAAGTGAAGTAAGATTAGTTTGCAGTTTTGCACTCAACTCTATCAGTGTGAGCTGTAGACTTCTTGTAGCTGCCAAACACCGATTCTGAGTTGTATCAGAGGAAAAAAAACTATTTGAAATGTTTACACATGTGTATGTCAGTATGTGTACGTGCATGATAATACCTAAGGCATACATTATATGCCATAAATTCAGGCAAGATTTCAGTTGGAGAAGTCACTTCTGCTTTATTTTCATTTTACCGGCCGTCAAATTCATTTGTCAAAGACCATGAACTCTTGCTCTGATTAGCGATCTCTGATTAAGACATAGTCACATATATAATCCATATATCCAAAGTTAAACAGAGATCCATGTAACGAAAGTTGGTCATAGCTTAATGATAACAATAATTTGTGCTTAAAATAGTAATATCTCACATGATTATGAATTTTCCGTTTTAAACAACATAAAACCTATTTTTTGTTTATAGTCAAACTTGGCTAACTAAATGGTAGTAAAAATAAAAAGATGGTAAGTGTTGTGAGATCTTGGATAAACGTTTTTATGATCCATATAGAAACTTCAAAATCTGATATAAACAGTAATAAAAATATATAATATGTATGTATAATTTTGCAAATTATACAATATATAAGTCACTCTATTAGACAACAGTTCGGGAACTTAAGACTTACATCAATCTGTCTTTTGATTTTTGCTGCCTAACACAGACTAGTATAGATCATCTTGAAAAAATAGGCCGAAAATAGATAAATCGGTGGACTGTGAAAGACTGAAAGTAATGAAAGCATATAAACTAACGACATGATGATAATACTTTAATATACTTCGGGTAAGTAATTTACATAGATTTTTTTTTTTTTTGGGTCAACTACATAGAATTTATTGATCGCTTTTATTACTACTTTATTAGGTTTGACATTCACGTATGCAATCAAAAGTCATGGTGCGGAGTGGGAAGTAATTTATTAATTCCATCAATTCGAATATTAATAAAGTAATGTTTGCTAAAAGGAGTAATGTTTGTTTATCTAAAATTACCTCCTAATAATAGTAGTACACACAGTTTTACCTGGTTTTACCTCTAAGTTATAAATTATGAAAAATAATGATTAACACATTATAGATCCATTATCTTTATTGTCATTGCTTCCAAATGCAAACATCGTATAACTAAAATCTGTAATTTTATAAAATGAAAACAGTAACAAATCTTTGCAGTTCATAGATGGCTGGCAAGTTTTACTGTTTTAAAGTGAAACAAATTAAATTTTGAAATTCTCTACGTGGTTTATAGCGGGTGTGGAATTGTGGTAGTGGACGTAGTAGTTTAGGAATATACTTATGCGCAGATCTAGCAATCATTTCGTTCAACAATATTATGTTTTTCGATTTCCCTTATAACTTCTAGTGTTTGTTTATATTGTGAAATTCATAACGATACCATGAGGTCCCCAGCTATACGAGCATATAACCCGCATGCAATACCAAATGATCAAATTATTTGGGGAGAACAAATAATTTCATTACTAAATTACCATTTCTTTAGTCATTTTTAATATAAAATAACATATTTAATGTTGACTGTGGAGACAGAAAAAGTGTTAAATATTTTTTAGGTGAGCGGATTCTCCACGCGTAACAGATAACTACCGCGCAAGGACTTTTAAGGCCCACAATAGTTCACACGTGCGGAGTAAAAGACACGTGTCCCTACAAAGATTTCCTACGATTTTGATGTTGTGTGTGTAAGTGTGTATTGTCCACATTTTGTTCCCATTTCTTTTCATAATTTTTATTCTTTCTCACATTCTCTTACATTGTAAAAATATGTGAGAAAAACAGTAAATAATTATACAGTTTAATCAAAGAAGTGTCTGAACAAAATTTTAAACTAGGTTTATAATTGTGACTATAAAAAGAGACCTTGTTTTTTAACATATCATATTTTGAATTTGTACGTTTTCTTTTATATAACAATGGGGTCAGAGGTTTAATGAGACCAGGTCCCCTTAAAGTTTAAGGCTTTTTTATCTTCCAGCTTTTCGTCATCCACGATCTACGGGGAACTAATTGTTAGTTCTCAATCTCTTTAACTCTAAATATCTTCAACTACAAGTCTACAACTATAAGCAAGCATACATTCTCAAAACCAGCTACAATGCTGGCGTTTATCACCGAGATATCAATCATTTTTTTTTAATGGTAATGGGTTTAGGCTTTATATAGTTTAATAATGTCTATTACTCTACATATTTGTGATAATGTCCTACTATGGCAGACCCGATTTATACCTAATTTTGTCCATATTATCGAATATTTACGCCTTTTAGAAAAGAAAGAAAGCTATATATCACATGTTTCCACTATAGTTTACAAGTATATCAAGATAAAATAATCCAAGGAAAGATGGTTCTGATTGCCGCAATTGAAGCATGGACTACGGTCCGTATCATATCATATTCAAATCTCACTCAGTTGTATAGTTTATAAATACTTTTAAATTTTTTATCATTCTTATTATTGCATTCTAATAATGAGAAAAACTCAACACAATTCAACTGAAAGTCCCATATATATAAGCAGTATAGTTGCGAGTTGCGACTGAGCGTATATCATGGTAGATTGCTACTACGTGAACAATGAGCCAATCACGGAATAAACATCGCTATTGTCCTTTACCTTTTTCAAATATATTTTTGAATGGCAATTTTATAGTTTGTTGTTTAGCCGTGGGAACACATTTGCTCCCACTTACCATAATTTAGTCTGAGGGTGCGTCTGTCTCGCGTGTGTGCGCCCGTGTGTGCGTGTCTCGCAGAGTATTCACTTGACCCGAGGTTAATCAAGACCAAAACCGACATAGCTAGCTTCAAAATTTTCGTTTTGAAGTTACTCAAAATTCTATTAAAAATAACTATTGATATATATCTAAGGCAGTCGATATATGTCACATTTCGGAATTGAATGATATATGGGATGGATCGGATATTTGATTGGTGGTTTTCAGTACAACAATTAAGATGCATATATACATAAATATCTAAAATAATAATTCAGTTTGGTATTTGTGATAAAGACACCAACAGATGCTTTGGCCTAAAATTATATCGAACCAGGATCTAAACGTGGGGACTACATAGATTACATAAAAAAATCTTTAAACTGTACCATACTTATTTACAACAATACTAATTATCGACAAAACACACACTTAATTATACACATGATTAGACTGATCACTGATGTTAGTAACTTAGACATGTACTAGTATATTTTGTTGCCTGTTGGTTTTAATTTAAACATGGGAGTATTTAATTAGTTGACTTTAGTGTGTATATGTGTAAGTGTATTTAGGTTTGAGCTTTAATAAATCTCAAGTTAATCCATACTAAGTAAATTTGACCATAAATTGACCTGAAATTTTTTAGAACGTGCGACATAAATATTACTAGAATGGTATATGATCATTTTGCATGCTAATGACTCACTTTGCACTGTAGATCACATAACAATAATAGCTGATCATAACATGGATCACCGATACTCTTGTCAGTGATAATTCATAATGCCATTCATATGATTACTTTTTTTGTTAAAGGCCATTCATATGATTACATTACTAGCTGGTTCTGATTAGTTTTGGCAGCATACATTAAGCTCAAAGCTTAATCAGTACTTGCTGGCAACATTTACCATTTTCACATGATATTTTTCCGGTTTATCAGCATTAAATTATGTAAACCAATACTCTAAGTTTAATTTTTACGCAAAAGCCACGAGATAATCATGCAATTAAATACATTAACGAAAAATTACGCAAAAAAATGGAACATCGATGGGTTAAAAAATTTAAATGCACGTGGACGCGTAGGGTAATCAAAGTATAAAACTGTGTCGGTTGGTTTAAATTAAACCGGTTAATAAAGTGTTTGGTTTGGATTTTACCGACCGACACTTTCCCGAGATCACCGATAACAAACTTGGGTGTACTTGAGTTTAATTAAACCTGGACCGTCCAATACTTCGGGGGTCCCACGACCGCGGGTTTCCATCGAACGTTCCATGTTTCAGAGAGACAAGAAGGACTCGTGTCGAGTTAAGAAGGCGAGAAGTTTCTCGTGTGCACATGAGCGCACGTGCCAGCTGACAGCCGAATAGTGGTCCCCACCACGTGAGCTTTGTGACGACGTCGTTTGACACTGCAACGTGGTGGTCTCCGGCGGCGCCTCACTTGACGCTGACGTTAACGTTAACACACACCGGAAGGTTTATTTTAATTATTACTGTCGACAAACATACCATTTATTTATTTATTATTTTATGTATTACTAGTAAAATCGAACCATTAACTTTCGATCTTTTATGAAAAAAGAAAGCATTATCATTCTGTTTCAAATATAACCGAAGTTAACTTATGCAGTTTTTTTATGAAGTTGAAAATCAGGAAGGCCGAAATTATCTTTACAGGCCCAAATGTACAGGCTTAAGATGACAAATTAGGCCCATAAACCACCAAAGCCCCAAAAGTAAAAAAAGAAACTAAACATTCCCACAAATTTTGTTCCTCAAACGGACAAAGATGAAAACAGAGTGAAACTAATCTTTCCAACCTTCTTTACTGAGTCTTCTCGAAGCAAGTCCTCTCGAAGAAACGCTCGGCGTGAGTGGTAAAACCGGAGTATTCGGCTGTTCCTCATCACCATCTCCATTCTCATCGTCCCAATCATCTCCCCAGTTATTGTTCCATGATCCGTCGTCATCACCACCCGTCTCTTGCTCCGGTTTCGTCACCAGTCCGGTGTTAGACACTGGCAGCTCCATGTCGAGCCTCTGGTACTTCTTGTTTCCCTGCGACGACTTGTTCCTGTAAACGTGGATGATCGTTGGGATGATGACAAGAGAGAGAACGAGGAAAGCGATCATGATGATGACAATGAGTGTTCGCGGACGCATATTAAAGATCGAAGGACGTGAAACAGCGACTGTGTCATCGTCGTTTCCTGTTTCGTGTGCTCCTGCCAAATCCTTTAGCTCAAGGCTGCAATGGCCTTTACCGGAAGTTAGAACGATTGCGCTATCGTTAGACCCTCCCTTCCTGATAGAGACTTTCACCTGCAATAAAACAAAAGATCATTGTATCAAAATGTTGTTCTTGACTAGTAAAAACTATGCAGCTATCGTCTGAGTTTCCCATTACAGTCAAGCATCAAAACACATTAAACTCAACAGAGCTTCTTTACTAATCAAATGCACCAAGCTATAAGCAGCCAAGTTAATGAACAATGTATGATCTTGACTCTAGTTCAAGAATCTATAAAATGAAGATGAAGACGGTAACAAGTAAAGATATTACCTTTGTGTCTTGGTTTTCGAGGAGCTCAACTTTGTTCTTCTCTAACTTAACGAAACTTCGTGCAGTTATAGTCACAACCAAAGCATTTTTCGCTTTGTTCTGAATCAAGAGTGAGAGATGAGGAGCATCTGCACATACAAGAACGATGCAAAAGAAAGCTCAAAAACCCTGTAGACACACACACACACACACACACAAACACACAATCGAAATTGATTCAACAGAGACTCACTCACCGTTACCAGGAACTCGCAGGCAAGCGACAAACTGATTCTCCTTATCTGTACACATATTAGACGGATCACATTCTTCGCCATGTTTCTTCCTTGAAGAAGAATTGCTTATAGCTTCTTCCTCCTCCTTAGAGCTTTCACTTTCATCATTTCCTCTATTCCCTTCACTGCTCTTGCTACTACTACTATCTCCATCACTACGCTTCGTGTTAGATCCATCTCCCAATTTTGTATCATCACCGGTCATGTTTTTGGAATCAGTAACATTGGCAATATTGGTGACTGTCAAATTCGAATTCGAGATCGAGATCGAGGAAACTTCTGCCTCTCCATCAACCTAATCGTAGTAAACATCAAATCCCCAGATTCATAGCTTAATCGGAAAATCAAAATTAGGGAGGGATTGATTTGAGTGTTTACCTTACTAGCGGCGAGAATCAAAGCTATACAGAGGAGGAAGACGAAGTTCGCAGCCATATTTGAGAATCAAGCAAATTCAAAATTCCATCTGAAACTCACCAAAATCGAGCTACTCTGTGGTTAGCGAGAAAGCAAACACCAGAAATGGAACATGTTTCGATTTCAATGAAAATCAAATCACAACTCACAGAAATTCTAGTGATCTTCTTCGTATTGATTTTCACCTTCTTCGTTAACTATTTTGCTCATCAATTCGAATCGGATTGAAGCAAAGATTAGGGCTCTACAAGTGAGTCAATCAGAGACTCTATTTTGACTTTTAGTCGTTGGCTCTTCTTCTTATGTGGATTTTGTCAAAATTAACTATAGCGACACCGTTTTCGATTATCTTATGGTTAATAAAAAAAAACAAATTAAAATCCTTCTTGACGTGATATACGCAGCTCACGGACTTGGGCTTTTGTCGTTGCGCTTGCATATAGTCGTTGGGCTTTCTTAGAGGATATCTTCGGATGATAACAAAAATGGAATACATCAACAAGAAAAAAAAAAACATTTTTGCGCGGGAAAAGTTCGCAATAAATTAAGTTCGTTTTTTCAAAACCTTATAAGTTATAGTAGTATTAATTAAGTAGAATTATTCGTAAAAAAACAAAAAAACAGAGACCTCTAGGACGTGTAAATGGATTTATTTGTTTTCTGATAAAATGTAAATGGAATTTCTTACATATATGATATATATTATGAACCTCCTAGTAATTCAAAAAATGTGTAACACCACAAATTGATCGGCTTCCACGCGATATTCAATGATTTGAAGGTCAAAACCGAAAACGAAATACCAACATGAACCAGCTAGACAACTAATACCTGCATGATGGGAAGAAAAATAAACTTGTGGAAATTAAATAGAAAAAAGTCAAAACTCCACTTGGCGTCGGTAGTGAACTCGCCACGTGTCTAGTCAACGGGACAATGTCAACTTACCTTAATTATAGGGTAGTGTGTTAGAATAATGTGATAGAGTGCATCTAATTAACTACCAAAAAGAAAAAAACAGTCTTGTTGTGAGACAATAAAAAAAGGCTTTACAATGCATCGTCACGTTAAAGTTTCAATAATTTTTTAGGACAAACAAAAAAAACATTCAATAATTTGAAAGCAAATAAATTTTAAAATGAAATTAATTTGAAGAAGGTCAAACCGAGCGGGTCCACGTCCAGCTCCATTCTATCTTAATTATTGAAGTTTTGATTATAAATAAATTGTTTTCTATGGACAACGAAGACTAAGTCAGCTGCATGGAGTGATATAATCAAATTATTTTCTTGTCGACATTGTTTATAGAACTTTTGTGATATACAAATTTTTGACTATTTGTGAAATAGGAAGATTTGATGGTCATATAGGGTTCATGATTCATGAAATCTATTGGCGTTAGCTATATCTTAGCTGTGTTTATGGCGCAAATCATAGCGAAATTTAATAACAAAACAAAATTAAGAAGAAGACCGGTAGGTCCACAACAAGTAGGGCCATATATGCTTTAGAAAAATTGAAGTTCTACCTTAGGGATAAGAGGGGACCTCATACATGAGCACACGTAGTCACGTAGATTAATAACGGTATGTATAAAATATAGTCAAGCAATATATGTTGGCTAGATAAATATATGTATTGAAAATATACAAAAACCACTTCAATAATCTGAGAGAAATGTGTGAATAGGAAATCCAATTCGTGCTGCTTTCTAGAAAATCCGTTTACTATTAGTTTTATGGATTGTTCTGCACATGAAGAGATAAATAGTACTCCACAAAATTATATGAAAAACTCAAATTTGTAAATGAAAACTCACCATTCTCTATATATGTTAAACCAAGTAATAGTTTTATATACAAAATTTTGTAAACCACCTCACTTATATTATATATGCTCATCTAAAATATATATTGCAGTTTATTTTAGTCGAAGATAATATAACAAGAAAAATATGATTATAATTTTCGTGATAGAGATTTTGTAGTTGAGGATACCATGCTACATTAATTTATTTAAATGTTTTCAGATGAAAAATTCTTTGCTATATCTAGATATATAACATATTCATAATGCTTACACTTGAAAACTAAGAAAGTCTAAAACCATGATGGTCCACAAGAGCCGCCAAAGAAACGATATTCGTCACAATGTCTACGATCCGTTGAATAATGTCCCATCTACGTCTTAATGTTTAACCCATCAAATACAATAGGAACTATGTGTTTATATGCATACGTGTCGCGAAAATAAGTTATTATAAAGGTCTGTATAAGGGTTGGTCGGTAGTTAATTATATTCAATAGAACACTTCATCAACTATCTAATTAAGTTGCAAAAGATATACGTCTAAACCTACAATGGATCATTGTATATTTGTATGAGGTCCACAACGATTCATGTAGGTCTGTGACTGCATCTATAGGTTTAGACTTAATCGAGTTTTTAAGGAAAATGATGTTTGTGTTGTCATTTTTTTTTATAGAATCATATCTATGCGTGTAGTAGTTATCCACTCAAATTAGGACAAGTAAAAGCAACTAGCCTCTTCGTTCATTTTCTTTCGTAGAGTCACCTTCAAGTCTTCAACGTATATTGATTCATAATTCACCTTTTTAGCTTTCTAGGAATCATCCGTACGATTTCATACGAACCTTTTTAATTATATAATTTTGGTGTTGGTTATATTATAATATTCAGCATCGTGATTCGTTTTTATTCTAATAGTAAATCTTGAATGTATTTTCTGTTAATAATTATATTGAGTATTGATTCAATTATTTGACAACAATAAGAAGAGACTAATTTACATTTTCTGAATCAACTTGACAAAAGTAGAGAACGTAAGTTGACACAAAACAGATTTGTGTCAAATTAGGAACACACTTGACCTGTTGTTGATTTGAACATCTACTATATGCTCTCTTTAACAATATAATTAATGAGCACAAATATCTCAACGTTACTGAACGAACCACGTGAATCCAAAAAAAGATTAGAATTAGGTACGATATTTCCTAAATAAAACCCATACCAACATATTATCAAATACTATCAGAGAGTTAGAAGAATGGCATCATTGTGACGTCATTTTCCGTCGACATTACGCAATTCGCTGAGAACAAAGTCGTCGCCAGAGTATATCGTGGCGAGAAGATGTCGCGTTTAATTGATCTGAAGAAAGTGAAGTGATTCGTTTTTTTGGGGACCTCGCAAAGGAGACAAAGTTTGGTGACGTGTCGACCTCAGGAGCAGTGGACCACTGTTCTGTCGGCGTCGCCTTTCGAAGACATACGCTAATAACGACAAAAGACTACTTTTTCGGTGTTGAAAATGTCGATTGTGCCCCTGACTTTTCCTTTGATCTCTACTTGGTGTATGCCATTCATTCTTCTAGACAAACAGCTACTTTCACACGGTGTTTGTCACTCGATCTGGATAAGATTCTCTCGATCTTGTTCAATTTACCATATTGCACCTGCTTCCTTTACTTCGTTATGTACCACAACCACAAGTTTGCGATGCTCTTCGGCTTCTACTGTTGATCCGAAAGCAACTAATAAGGTTAACGTTTACGTGCAAGAAACAAATGTATATTTATGGTATATACATTCGGCGTATAAACTTTTTTTCCTTTTATATCTACAAAAAAAACAAGTTAAAAACATCTAGACTGCTAAGTATATATGTGATTATATAATCACCAATCAAACTTTATAGCATGAGTTCGAGTGTCAGCAAACGGAAATGGACTATTTTAACATGTTTTAATTTTTGATTCGAAGATTATGAGTTTTTTAAACAGCAAAAGATTAATTATATCGAGCTATTAAACTTGTTTTTTCATTGTAGTTTGACATATTTTTATGGAGAATGTAAATATGTTAAACTACAATGTTAACTGTTAAGTATCTGTATGTATTGTCAAATTAACGAAAGTACTTGGCCTCTGTCTTTATATGGCATCAAGTACTCCACATGGGTACTTTAACTCTACCAAAATTTCCTTACAATAATTAATCAGTTTGAGCTTCATTTTTTTTTTTTTTTTTTGTCTTTTTAGCAATTTGAAAATTGAAAGTTACTGTGAGTCTTTTATGGCACTCATCAAGGTGCCTACTTTGGGTTGGTAGTAAAAGATGTTGCTACAAAATAAAACTAATAACAAAATTGTACCAAACCAAACTTCAACTTGATTCCTTAGTTTGTACTTTGTACATGTATTATATATAACTAGAATATTATAGCCCAAAAACCAAATTTACTGGTTCTCACCATTTTCCTACAACAATTGATGTAATAAATTTCATAAGCTCGTACGGAGATTAAGTACATATGCACATCTCAGTATCTCACTTCTTCTTCTTCTTCTTCTTTTTTTTTTTCCTTTAGCGACAAACTTACAAAACAAAAAAAATCACCGAAAGCTTACATGTGATTGGCTTTATGATAACTTTTTGGATTTATTAGGAATGGACCGGCCCCGAGATATGTTCTAAAAGTAATGTATTGATTGTACGTGTCATTGATCACACACCTATATTATATGCGCACATATACATACACATTTGTAAACTTCATATGCAGAATTGAGATCTTAATTAAAACCTACCGATTTTGGCTAACACTGCACGTACTAAAAAAAGACACACTTATAGACGTATGGTTGCGACCCATACATAGCTCGTGACCTCCAAATTACATCTTTTAAGTGATATAGATACTTTTAAATCTCGAGTCTAGAAGACTTTGAGATATTTGATGCGAATTGAATTTGCCCATGTTTGAAAAGTTATCAATTAACTTCAGCAAAAAAGCCAAAAAAATGTCATATCTATGAAAAACATAGGGTCGTTTGCCAACAAGTAAAAAGCTTGAATGTAACTATTTAATCAAAACTGAACCCTATTGATTTTTGGTTTTGACTAACTATTAGTGACCAGTTGACCACACTAGGCTAATAACTTTGATTGGATACAAGAAAATTTAATTCATTATCATTTTTAACATATCAAGATTTATTTTTCAAGATATAAACTAAACTTACCATGTAAACAAGAAGTAGTTTAACTTTAATATAGAATCTATCTGACTTTCTGCTATTCAAGTATTCTGTGACAAATATATAATTTGAAAACTAAACTTTAGTACTCATTAGTTATTCGAATTAGGGGAAGGAAGTTGTAACATTTTTATGCATCTATTCAAATTGAATGCCAAATTGAAATTGTGGTTCGTGGAGGAGATGAGATGATAGAGAGAGAATGATATCAAACGAAAGTATCGAGACGAGAAAATGAAGGCGTGGCAGAGAGAATTTATGATACCATACGGACCTTTTATGAAAACAGAAGTCTTGACTCTTCTCTTTCTCTCTTTCTCTTGCCTCATAAATTCTAAAAGTTTTTTTGTGGGGACTACACGGCCTCTCGTCTTTATGTTCAATCACCAACGACAAAAGAAGATGAAATAACAAAAGCAAAGGATTTTGGAATTGACTCTCTTCGAAAACTTGCAATTAATATGTGAAGATGTAATGGGAGAAGACAGAAGAGAGTTAATTTCTTCTGTTTATGCATCAAACGTACTACTCATATGTCTAATGGTCAAATGGTGTCGACATAACAATTTCCGACGAATACTAGTAAACTTTTAACATTTCCTCAAAAAGCTTAGTATATATCAGACGTATGAAATTTAATTTTTGTATTTAATACTATTTGTGTGTGTGTGTGTGTGTAGTGTTGTTCAATAACTTTAAAACTATGTAGCATGTTATCATTTAAACAATGTGTTTACTAATCATAATGGTAACTACTAACTAGTGAAGTCAAACGCTCAAACTTTCTGTTTCATGAGTTTTATTAACAAGTGTGAATGTATTCCACAAAAGATGTGTGAATGTAAAATGTTCACGTTCAGTATGAAATTCAAATTGAGATGAATTTGGCTAAAGGCCATAATCAAAGGTACGCACATTATCATTATTGGAAATTTATCCATTTTAATGTTATTTTCACATCGAAAGTTAAGGAACAAATTTACTTATTACAGTAAGTTACAATTACAGAGAGTTGTAACAAACAGAACTTGAACTTGTAGATTCTCTCGCTAATCCAACATCTGCCCGTCCACACCTACCTAAACTTTAAGGAATACAATACAACAACAGTGGTCTAATTTTTCCATCACCAAAAAAAAAAAAAAATTCAAATTTCCAAAGCTAAGCCTAAAAAAAATTGATGGGTATGCAAGGTTGTGGATGTATCTTCAAACCAAAGAAATTTGAGTATATTGAATATCATGAATTTAGTGCTCATATCAAAACAATCATCATTAGCTTTAGTGCTTATAATTGCCATGCTGATCTTTAAAAACAAAAAAATGTGGTTGGAAATTCAGTATAATAATAATATTTTATCTCAAACTAGAAACATTCTATAAATAATCGTGATAGAAATAGTTTGGCAAAAAAAGAAAAAAAAAGAAAGAAAAAACAAAATCAAGTAATCAACAAAGAAAAAGTCAAAGAGCTCCATGTGAAAACTGTAGACAACCTTTCTGTTCTTTTTTTTCTTCTTCTCTCTACTTGAAGTCTATAAATATGTACAAGCTCTTTCTAAACTTTTAAAACCCATAACCCATTAAATATCTCTTAAAACATACAAAATAAATTCTATTTTCTCATAATCACATCTCTCAAAATCTCAATCTTATTCTTCTAGAATCATATTCTTAACAGAGAATCACCGTTCTCTGTTTCAAGCTTCACCATTAATCTCTTTTCTTGCTCAATCTCCAAGAAACCAGGACGATTTCTCGCTGTGATAATCTTGATTTTTCAGACAAATCTCCAAAATGGAAGAAAGTAATAATCTTTATCAGACAAATTTCAGTCCCAAAATCTCAGAAATCAGAGCTTCTCTGTCTCAGATCATACTAGCCGGAGGACCAAACACACTCGACTCAATCTTCTCACTTCTCACTCCTTCCTCCGTCACAGCATCCATCGACACTTTCAATCCTCCTCCACCGCCGCCACCGCAGCTAGGCTCCTCCGTCTATCTCCGGCAACGAGATCTTATCGAAAGACTCCACCTTCAAAACAGAGCAATCTCCACTCCTCCTCCTCCTCTGTTTTCCTCATCGTTCGATCACCAATCTTCAATCGCCAACGCCGCGAATCCGGCCGCCGCTTTCGCCGCCGCGTTAGCGGCCGGGAGGACGCCGAAAAAGAAGAAGCTTTACAGAGGAGTGAGGCAGAGACATTGGGGGAAATGGGTGGCGGAGATCAGATTGCCGCAAAACAGAATGAGAGTCTGGTTAGGTACTTACGACACGGCGGAAGCCGCCGCGTACGCTTACGATCGCGCCGCCTACAAGCTCCGCGGAGAATACGCTCGTCTCAATTTCCCGAATCTCAAAGACCCGAGTGAGCTGCTCGGGCTCGGAGATTCCTCTAAGCTGATTGCTCTCAAAAGCGCAGTCGATGGGAAGATCCAAACGATTTGCCAGAGAGTCAGAAGAGAGAGAGCGAAAAAGAGCAAAACTTTGCCGGCAGCGACGACGGCGGATTCCTCGTATTCATCCTCGCCGGAGATTCTGTCTTCTTCTCCGGCGGCAACGGCGACTACGACTGCGGTTAATTCAGATGATAGTTACTGGGCAATGGGATTGTGGAACAGCGAGAATAGCTCTCCGGCGTCGGTTTCGATCTCCGATGAAATTCCGGCGATGACAACGGCGGTGGCGGAGGAGGAAGACATGATGATGGGAGTGGATACTGATGGGTTTTTGCTGGCGAGGATGCCATCGTTCGATCCAGAGCTTATTTGGGAAGTTCTCGCAAACTGAATCACACACAAAGCTGTGAATTTTGAAAATGAAAAAAACTTCGGAATTAGGAAATGTGATGAGAAAAATTAGGGGTTTTAGGTGTGAATAAGGGTTTAAAGTTTGTTAAACCTCGTTGTTAAATAATTATATATTAGGGTTTTTAATTAAAAATTTTAAAGCCTCGTGGTTTTTGAGAGAGGTTGTGGAAGCTCCTTTTTTGAATTTTTATATTTTTAATCATCGAAGGACTTGCTGATTTGTATTTGTAGTTTTGTACTTAGAACAATTTATATAAAGTAATGTTACAGTTTGATTTGAGCAAAAGCTTTGTGGAGAATGGAGATTGAACATTAGATTAATGAAGTTTGTAAGAAAGCAATTAAATAAGACTGGTGGGGAAGGTAGAGAGAAGCACATGTCACAGTCTCGTACCATATGCTCAATGCTTTATAAAGTGGTCCCTTTTATTCTCTTCTTCCATGTGATAAAGTCAAACACCATTTTCTTTCCATAAACAATATTTCAATTATTACCTTAATGGTTTTACTGTTAAATGTTTATAGACTCTAATAATGTCAAGAAGAAGAAGCAATAGACTAATCTTTTTCTGTGTCTTCCAATAGAGGATTAAACAGGTCACTGAGAATCCTACTCATCTTCACTTTAACTCTCCATGCTTCCTCAGTTTCTTTGTCAAAGATAGACTTCCACAGTTGCATAATGTCAGACTCCATGGCTTCCCTCGCAAACCCATTCCCTTGTTTGGCACAACTCAACTTGTCATCCACCTTGTTCACCGCTTCTTCAACTCTATACGGCAACACCACGCCAACTAAACAGCATTCTTCTCCTCTAAGAACCGAGAAAAGGCTATCCAGATCTCTGTACCCAGCAGAGAGATCCTTGAGAGTGGTCTTGATCAATTCCCACTGCACCGAATTGCCATCATCATTCTTCTCATCTATTCTTCCTCCGTTGTTGGGTTTGATATGCTGTGAGTAGACATAATGCATCACACAGAGCAGCTTCCCCACCACTGGACTCTCACAGTCCCGCTTCCTCGTTGCGTTTCTCCACAACTTGAAGCAGAACCATAACACGCTACGAATGTCATCATCACACAGCAACACCATGGACTCAGCCACTAATAGCGACAGCTCAAACCCTAGTTGCACAACTTCCTCTTTCAGGTGCTCCTTCACAAACTCAATCCTGCCCAAAAAAACAATACAGTCAAAACCTGAGTGAGTGAGCAAACACCCACTACTAACAAACATTACCACTAACCCTAAAACGTAATGAGAATGTGGAGGCAGTGCTTGTATCGCTCTATGTTGTGGTTTCCCCGAAATTGCCCTAAACAGGTCGTTGATAACCCCATTCCTCACCGCCTGGAGAGTCTCTGTCGCTTCTTTAGCTTCTTCATCAAAGACAGACTTCCACAAGTCGAGTATCTCAGACTCTATCGTCTCCCTCGGAAACCCATTCGCCTCCGAGACATGTTTCGCTGACCTAAGTTTATCCACCAGACTCTTGAACACCTCTTGCTTGTAACTCACGATACCCGACAAAAGCAGCCGATCGTCATAAGTTTTACTTTTCCTTCTCAGAGCCATAACAAACCGATCCATAACCATGATTCCGTTGTAAAACCCCTCCCAAGTGGTCTTGACCAGTCTCCACTGCGCCGAGTTTCCATGGTTCTTGAAGACGCCCTTCTTCGGTTTGATGTCTCTCAGGTAGACGAAATGCATCACACGAAGCAGCCTCTCTAACACGGGATTCGGGGACACGTGTTGATCTCTCCAACACTTGAAGCAGAACCATAGCATGGTGCGAATGTCGTCGCAGAGCAAGAACTCGACTCCTAGTCGGATCACCTCCTCTCTTATCTCCTCTTTCCTAGCGGACTTATCTGAAGCAGCGTATGGATAATACCTCGACGACGACGACGACGGTGCCAATCGACGGAGAACACCACCGGAGCTCGGGTTCGATTCCATGATGACAAATTCAGAATTCTATTAACAAAAAAAAAACGAACTTTCGATCAGCCGAGCAACCCAAAAGCTAAATTTTGCAAATTCCATGATTCAGTTTGAATCGATACGACACTAAAATCTCTAAAAATAAGGATTATGTTCGAACGAAGCACTCACCAATTCAGAGTTGTAAATCAGTAGAAAAAATTGCGCTTTCTATCAATTGAGCAACGAGGAGAAGAAACCCAATAAGTAAATCGTAACTTTCGTCATTCAATTCGAAATCTCCATGAATCGATTCCTCACCAAAATTTCAAAAGGAACAGAGCACTCACCCCAATTCGTCGTCCCTGTAAATTTTCTGAAATTCCTTGTATTTGTTTTTATTTAAAATTACACGTATGAAATAGGCAAAAGTCAAAATTTATAAATGTGTGGATGATACAATGATGTTGGGCTTTTTTTTTGTTTTGTTTCAGTCTACTCAGATATTTTCGGCCCATTTAATGTATTCTGCTTATTGTATACGTGTATATTCTGGATCATAGTTCTGGATCGCCTTGTTAAGGGTCTCAGAAGGTTAGATGTAACCATTGATGACCGGCTATTAGCTTCGTCTATTGTGAGTTACAAGCAAGAGTTGCTCAAGAGCAGCGAAATATGTTTCAGAGGCGAATAGGTTTGCGAGGGAGACGATGGAGTCTAAGATACTCGACTTGTGGAAGTCTGTCTTTGACAGAGAGGCTAAAGAAGCAACAGAGACTCTCCAGGCGATAAGGAATGGGGTTATCAACGACCTGTTTGAGCCTATTTCGGGGAAACCACACCACAGAGAGATACAAGCACTGCCTCCACGCTGTCCTTGTAGTAAGATGCTGCGATAGACCTCAAACACCATCTTGTTGATACAATTTTAAGTTCATGTGAATTCAAGAAGAGCTGAATAGAAAGTAGTATTGAGATAAAGATCATTGAGCTCGATGAGCAACTCAACGAGCTTCAAGATTTTTAAGATTCGCTACAAGATCATCTATACAAGATCTTGAGGCAGGAGACAATTTGTGTGTTTGAAACTAAAAACGGAAAACTTGTTGGTGCAAGCTTGCTAAACATTCAAAATATAACATGATTTGTTGCCTTCTTGATGAAAAAGATGATTAAATAAATCATTTATACATAGAGCATTTTGATGGAATAAACACTTTCAGATCTGAGTGAATCGGTCTCTAAACTTTGTTATTTCTTAGCACTAAAATTCTTTATTCCGGATGATTGACAAAAAAAGCTACTCTCATTTGTCTTTTTTTTCTTTTCCATCCACTTCGTTTGTTGATTCAACGTTTGGAATACCTTACACAAATTTTTAAAATGTACATGTTTTGTGTATGATCCGAAATCGGCACTTCAACCACTTGCTTGTTTAGGCGTGATGATTTACGTAGATGTGTTTCAATCACCGGCTCTCCATCTTCTTCCTTCTCTTCATCCTCGTAGTATGCATCTTCAATATCGTCTTCATCCCAAAAGTTATCTACTCGATAAACTTCATATCCAAAGGAATCTTGCTAAAATCATCTTGAGAAAAAAAGGGGACAAGTTTCAGTACTGTTGAGAAGCTCCTACATTCAAGCAATCATCCAATCAAATCGGATATCAAAGTAAAAGAAGGAACCTTGATTTGAGCCACTATGTTTTCACACGCAGTGTAATCCCTGTTTAGATAGGCTTGCTTGCCTTTCTCAAATAGCTCCACAACCTGTTCCTGCTGGTTCTCCATTGCTGCAGAGCTAAACCAAACAATCAAGTCAACTACAACGCAAATTCACTATCGCACTTTCTCTTCTTTTCTTTACTTTGCCTTTGGGCCTGCATACTTTTGATTTTGTCCCTCCGGACTTGTTATCGGTATTGCGTGATGACAAATGTGGAGTTTCGCGATCACGATATATTGGCATGTAATACTTTTATAGTTAATAAAATCTGGGAGCTTTGCTCCCGGGATTTACCAAAAAAAAAGTCAACTACAACGCAAATTCACTATCGCACTTTCTCTTCCTTTCTCGGTGAAACCAAACAATCAAGTCAGCTGTAACGCAAATTCACTATCGCAATTTCTCTTCCTTTCTCAGTGAAACCAAACAATCAAATCAACTACAACGCAAATTCCCTATCGCACTTTCTCTTCCTTTCTCAGTGAAACCAAACAATGAAATCTAACTACAACGCCTATTTTGCACCCTTTATTTAATTTTATTATACATAACACTCTCTCTTTCTATAAATATATATAAAAAAATTATTGTCTTTTGACCTGAGAGATTGTTCGAGTTTTCAAAATTTTTGTATGTTTAATTTATTCTTCGTAAACTCATGTATTCATGTGTTTATAGCCATTAATCTCTCTTCTCGTTCGTTTTTTGAAACAAAAGTATAAAAGTAGAATCATAGCAGTGATAATTAACCTCATATATGGGACACAGAGACAACAACCACCTAAGTGGTCTTTTATTCTAAGTATTACGTATAATTACTTTATAATTGTCTCTCTTAGAAATGCATCACAAGCTTACGAAAGCATGCATTAACTTGATTTAGTCGCTGTCGCTACCGCTGCTGCTTCCACTCTCATTGCCACTGCCATGCCCATCCTTGCTCTTCTTCTTCTTGTTCTCACTTTTCTTCTTATGTTTCTTCTCTCCATTGTTAATGAACATTCCAAGGCCATTAAGACCTTTGTTTGTCTCATGAGTTTTCTTCTGGTGCTGTCCTCCTAAGAGCTTCCCCATTCCATGGCCCTTGTTAGTCTCTTGGCTCTTGTGTTGCCCTAGAAACGCCCCTATGCCACTCTGACTCTTTTGCCCATTTTGACCCTTGAACAGCCCATCAAGAAACCCTCCGTGGCTACGGTGGTTCAGAGTCGGGCTGTTCCCATATACTGGACGGCTCTGGATCTGGCTCTGGCCATATCCCTGGTGGTTCTGGCTCTGACCATACCCCTGGTGGTTCTGTCCGTAGCCTTGGCGGCTCTGGCCTTGAGCCACATCGTAGTATTCTTTCTCACGTGTTTCGTAGTACTGCATGGTGGTATTTGTGTTGTGTTGTGTTTGGGTTTGGAATGAGATTAAGATGTCTATATATACTACTGATATTTTCATAAGATCTGCTTAATTAATTCAAACAGATTCCATTTTTGTTAGTGTCTGTCTTTATCTTGCACTTGTTCTATAGTGAAAGATTGAATCAATTCGAATGGCATTTCTTTTTAATCTTTACCTAATTTGGATGTCTATTTCAGAATTGGTTCTCAATTATAGTTGTCCAAGATTCAGATTCTTTGATTCCTATTGATCTCCCATGTACTACTATGTGTAGAAGAATTGTTAAATTGTAGAATATATATTATGCTAGATTTTAATGTTTCAAATAGATTCTGCCTATTTATATTCAGTTTTTTTTTTTTTTTTTTTTTTTTTTTTTTTTTTTTTTTTCTTTCTTGACTTCATATTGTTTGGAATAGTTATAGAAGTAGGTAGAGAGATATGTAATATCATCATTCCATAGTTTGCTTTGCAATGAAACATCATGATATATATTGATCCCAATGTGATGATCATCATTGATATTTTCATGAGGCATCTTATTTACTAAACTTAGATAATAATAAATACATAACTTTTATGCATGGGGTCTTGATCTCTCCCTTTTACGTAGCTTTGCCTCAGCTGCAAATAAAAACCAAAAACAAAATAAGATAAAAAAAGGAATTGTAAAATTGACAATATACATTTCGTGATCATAGTTTTTGGAATTCAAACCTCTATATATGCTTAGAAACCGAGGTAATTTTCGCGGCTATAGCGATTGCCACGACCGGTTTTGTCAGCCATCGAGGTGGAGGAGCCACGGTTGCGTCGGATGTGAGATGCAAACGATTCGCCGCCCGAGACGCTGCGGTTAAACATTTTAGAGTAACCTGGTCGACCCATCATGGCGCTTCCTTCATTGTCCGATTCAGAGTCTGACTTCTCGTTGATCTTTCTCCCCATTTCTTTCGGTTTCTCCATTTCCTCGGACGACATCTTTTTCACGTACAAAGTTTCGTAGTTTTCTCTTGTTGCTCTTCCTTGGTGAATTCGAGAGCCAAGGTTCCATATTTATAGATGAACTTGTACGTATATAAATGCATTGCATGTATGCATGCATTGTTATTGGATTCCTCAAGCTTTTGTTACATCAAACTATGAATTAGATTCATTCAAGTGGATAGCATTTTACGACCTTGATAATTGTTGACAAAGAACCCTTAAGAAAACGAAATAAGTTGAGTAAAGATCTTAGATTAGCGTTGGCCTCACGCTTCTATAACATATGGACTATAGATTATAAGCTCGTCATTGTCTTATAAGAAGATTCTCGTTCAAAATCGGTAGTAGATGCGACTCGTTGTATAATTCATAAGCTAATTGAGAAAAAAAAAATGAAGAGAATAAAATTCGGGAAAATATTACAAATTTACAAAATACAACTTTCTTGTTTTACTTCACTGAAGATTTCTCTTGTTCTTGAGTTGTTGTTGGAGTTTGTTCATCATCATTGTCTTTAGACTTCCTTAGAGCTTGTCTGAGACCCAACACGATGAACAAATTGGTAAGAGCAAGAAGTGATTCTGCTCCTCCATGTAACCAATCAACATTCGACAACGATGTTCCATAATGCACTTTAGCTTCATTCATCCACAACAGAAAAAAAAGGTCAGAAATTCATCAAAATTCAAGAAATTAACCGGATAAATTTTAGAGTGTTGAAGAAATTTACCATAAATACCAGCAGGAACTGCGGTTGTTTAACCCCAAATTAAGTTGATTAAATCACCAAAGGCAGAACAAGAGAGAGGATTAAGAAATGTAAGAAACGCCAAACGCTATAAGCAGAGGAAGCCGCAAACGCTGAAACAGAGTAATCTACTTACTTGTAGCTCCAACGAAGGCAAGCAAGAAGTAGAATCCGAAAAGTGTGAGTTTCGGAGCAGATTTGGATTTAGTGAGGAAGTAGAGGAAACCAATGTATGGGAACAGAGAGACAGCGAAGAGCTGTGATGCTATGCTCTGTGAATCAATGGTCGGAGCCCATGGATCCACCGGAAACATCCCTCCTGCGTCACACACGATCGATACTCTCCCATTTTCTTCTCTTCTTCCTCTCTCCTTGGTCGTCGTCTCTGTCAAATGCAAGAAGAAGCTTTTTTTTCTAGAGATTGAAACACCACTAGGCTGAGAAAGAAGCCTCCGAGTGTTGAACGGAGACGAACCTAGGAATCTAACGGCTGAGATTGTCGCCGGAGAGTAAGAGTGCATCAGAATCATCTCATGAGAAAGAAAATGTTGTGTGGATGAGAGAGGAAGAGAAACCAAAATGAAGATAAACAAACAAAAAAAAAAACAACTTCGTCCCGTTTTGGGTATGTTTAAGCTACATGCGTGTCGTTTTTCAACATTCGTCCAAAAAATTACAAACTACAAACAGTCTTCAAAATCAAAGCTCAAAAGGGGTTACAGTAACGATAAGTCGATAACTTATGTCCCAACTAAACTAAACAAGTGACTCAGGAACATGGACATGATAGACTTAAGAGGGAAGTGGTTCGAGCGTGGCTTGTTCCTGCCACTCACCGTTTAAGTTAGACTGCCACAATTTGACCATCCCATCGCTTCCAGTGCTAGCTAAAGTCATGCCACTCATGTCCCATTCCATCTCCCAAACCTGAGCCAAGAAACATCAATCGTTTAAATCAAAAGTAGGATCAACAAGCACTGAATCAGAAGAGAGTTTGAAGGAATAGAGCTTTGGAATTTGATGATACCTCGCCTTGATGACCGGAAAGCGAAGAGACCTTCTTAACCGGAAGCCTTCCTTCAAGGTCAGGAGCAAGACCAACATGCCATATTCCAATGCCTTGATGGGTTGCAACAGCAACAACCTCGTATGGTCTGGTGTATCAAAGATATATCATAAAGAGGATTTAGTTTTGAGCTTCTCAAGAAAGACTGTATTTTGAAAGAGGACTAGACCAAGATTGTGTTTGAATTTTTTTACCGGCCTATGTTTGGGGCCCATGAGACTGCGTAAACCGGATCACCTTTGTCTTCTGGTGAGGCTAACTCTGCTACTGCTAACCATCTGTTGTGAGCTTCGTCAAACTCCCATATCTGCAACAACAACACACACATATATCTAATTCTCGATTCTCTTTGTTTCCACAGTTCAAAGAAAGTGAAAGTGAGGTCTCAGACTCAACAAATATTAACCTTGGAAGAATTAAGATACGGAGAATCAGAGTTAAAAGCTAAAACAAAGCTCGGTTCTTGCTCTTCACTCCTCACTGGATTCCAAGAAACAGATGCAGACAAGCTTGAAGGTTTACCAAGAGTCGACAGAGAATCAATCACATTCTGAAACTCGGCCTGTAACAGAAGTCGATGGAAACAAATCATCTCAAAATGTCTCCTTTTGTACACACATATATATAAAGTTTCAATAGATGCATATAAGCACACCTGAAGTTGCCAATTCTTGAGTTCCAATGGATTCAACAGCTCGAAAACTCTAAGATACCCATCAGAATATGCAACAATCTTGCAAAATAATCCAAAGAACCATACTGTTATAAATGGTCGCTGAAGAGCTCACCAAAACAAGCTGAGAAATTTCAGAAGCTAACCATCTTTAGGCTCTTTCTCGAAACTCCAAACTGAACATCGAGGACTTGGCTAGACTTGTTCTTGTTGATACTCTTGCACAATTTCCACTCAAGAGCATGTGTATCTAGCAAACAAAGTAACTCTACTATAAGATAATGGATTCTTAATCAAGCACCTAAAAACAGACAATCCAATTTCACAGAGAGAAGAGAAGTTACCTTCAGAAACTTCCTCCCAAATCGATAAGCTTCCGTCTTCGCAGATGCAGGCGACTGAATCGCCGTATTCCGAAGGTAACCAGACGATCTTCGCAACGCTCGATTCACTAACCCTAACTTTGGAAGTGACAGTGAAAGAGGAAGAAGACGAAGCAGAGGGATTAGGAGTGTCGTAAACGGAGAGGCTTCCGTCTAAGGATCCGGCGGCTAATCGGTGGCCGGAGTGATTCCAGGAGGAACATGTGGTGCCGGCATCTAGCGTCGCCATTGATTTCGCCATTTCTCCGTGCACACACTCACTGACTCAGAGAATCTCCGGTGAGGTTTCAGTGAGATTCGATTTCCAATTCGAATTAGCAGCGACTGGGCCTATTCTGCTTTTATTGGGCCGTTTGTTTTAAAACTCTTACATCTGTTGAGACGAGCCCATGTAAATATGTCTTATTTTATTATTAGTAGATAAGTAACACCAATTTGTCAAATTTTTACCATTACACACACATAAGAAAAACTTTGATCATTACACATGCAGTAATTGACACCAACTTGTCAAATCTTTACGTGGACAATTGACACCAATCTGCCACGTATAGATTCCGAGTACTCGTGTCAAGTAAATTTTACTGTGCTCCTATATTTAGTTATTTACACATTTACTTTCTTGAATTTTGCACTTTTACACTTAAACCGAGCTCAGCTTACCACCGCCACAGCTCCGATCACTCTCATCGCCGCCGTTAACTCTCTCAAACCGCCGTCAAATACGACGGAACAAGCGAATCTAATCAAACCGGAAAGGTAAAAGTTTTGTGTTGGTAGATAGTTTAGATTTTGTCCTAATTTCAGTAATTTTCCAAAAACAGTGTTGACTGTTGAGTGATTGATAACTGAGAAGCGATGAATGCAGGAGCAAGATGTTAGTGTCTGATGTCAAATACTTGTCTTTTGCCGATTTAATGGCTCTGGCAAACGCGGCGGGGGCGGAGGATGAGTCTTTGCCGGCGGCAATCGAGGAAGATCCATGTAAAGAGACCTCAAACTTGATTGATTAAAAGTAATTCAGAGAGAAAATTGAGAAGATTGGAATGGAAATGGTTATGCAGAAAGCTAATTGTTAAAGCTTTGTGTGATTAGTTTTTGCAGATGAAGTAGCTGCTGCGTCTCAGCTGATGCTACAACAAAGTGGTAAAGCAACAACTGAAAGTCATAAGTCGTCAACAAAAGCTGTTGCAGGAACTTCTAATCCTGCACATTTTGGGAATAAAGATTCGAGAGATTGTCTTTACTCAGCGTGTGAACGAGAGTATACGAAGAAACGCAGCCAATGTAAAAGGAAAGCCATGGAACGGAAAAAGATTACTTGGGGCTCAAGTCTTGGCAAGAATCGAGAAGCCGGTGACATGGACTGTGGAAGTAACGTAGCACCAGTGAATCTTGATGAAGAAGCTGAGACCTTACCTAACAGAGCTCATCCGGATGGATTTGGAGGCAGAGACAAATTGTTTGCGAAGAAATACGTCCGGAGAAGAAGAGGGGAACAAGAAGGAGCAACTGGGAACAAGAACTTCAAATCTTGTATCAAGATCTGGTATAGTTGTCTCTGATGCATCTTGGTGCAACCGGTGGAGTTTCATAACTCAGCCTCGTACTTCTAAAGGGTTAAAACATGTTCATTGGAGCGATAAGGAGATGAGAAGCTTCATGACGTCTGAGGAAACAGAGAGAAACCGCAAGATCCTACTTCTTGCTGTTGAAGCAATCACACATCAGTTGCGTCTGTTAGACGTTAGCATGGAGGACAAGAGCTCTTAAGGTACCGTACATGGACTAGACTAATTAAGATCATTAGCTATAATCTTTAACCTAATATTTTTTGTTAGGATGGATACAAATAATCTAATCCTTTCCTTAAGACTGATATAATCTAAATCCTTTTGATGTATGTAGCTCTTGTATAAGAATCTAAGATATACCTTTTGATGTTACCATCTTTTTGAGGTGTAGCAGATCTTCAATGATATAATATATTTTGATGTAAATTTGTTTATTTTGATATAACTGAGAATTAGCAGGAAATGATCTTTTTCTAAAATCTAAAGTAACTGATCTTTAGAAAGATCAAATTTATAAAATGTTAGGTTATAAAGACGCAAGAGTTGTCAATCTAGAATTGAAAAATAAAATAAAGAATAGTGTATGGTAAGATATGTTTTGACACAAATGTTTATTCTTGGGAATTAGACTTTCTTATGAGAAATTGTTTTCACTTCAGTACTTACTAAATAACAAGCAGAAAAAAAGTGAATAAAAAAGGGATCAATATTAATATACAACGTTAAAAAATGACCATATACAGTATAATACGTATTTCCAATAGTCTTTCTAAGCTCACAATATTATTATACTAATCTTAATGAATTATTCTATCATTATTAAATTTTATATCAATATAATAATCAGGAACAAGATATACCAGCGAGTCGGCTCGGCGGGAATCGCTCGGACACGGTTTTACGAACAAGCGAGTTGTTAATCTCTGAGCCAACCAGTTCCGTCGACTCTCCTGACTCGGGAATCGTCGTGAGCGAGCCCGTCTTGTCGAAAACGACGTAGTACTTGTCCATGTCAACGCCGTGACGATCACATGCCTTAAACGGAGTTGTTGACTGTTTCTGTCTGAAAATTGACTTTATGAGTTTCTGTAAAGAACGTGAGATCTTGTTTGATGATTGTTTCTTTGTCGTCGAAGACGAAGATGACGTCGTTTCCGACGGTGGAGGAGAACGGAGGTGGTGTGGCATAGACATGGATCTTGCGGAGGAAGAGATGGCTGAGTCGAGTTGTCGGTTGAACGAGTTGAGCTCGAACGAGTCATAGAGTGTGCTTTCACAATCCCACACCTTCTTATTAATCTTCCTCTTATGATTATGAACGTTACTCTCTTCTGTGTTTTGTTTCAGATTCATCACCTTCTTGTTCTTGTCGTGATTTTCCATCTTTATAATGTTTTCTGATCTTTGAATCGAGTTTTTGTCTGTAAAAGTTAAATTATAAAACTCAACATGAGACAAATATAGTGATGTTCATGAAAATAATTAGTGATATAGATAGAAATTTTCACTTTCCATATTTATTAGAACAAGTTCACGATCAAGAAACAATAATTAATGGAAGCAAACTTTATAATTACGAACTTTATTTAATGATCAAATCCTAATAACTCACAATTTCCCATCTTGACTTTCATCACATATGATGATGATGAGGATCTTGAGCTCTTTGGAGATTGATCATGATCTCTTGTCTTGGCTTGTCTAAAACCCTCGATGATTTTGAGATGTCCTTTAATAATAGTAATCTCTTGACAATTAGTAGTAATCAAATCACCTTTCTTTGTCTTCTTCTCATCCTCAGCTTTTGTTGCTATTTTCTTTGACTCTATGGCTTTTGCTTTGACCTCCATTAATCTCTTTGCCTTTTTCTTTTTTTTCTCTCGATAGTGTGGTTATTTGCAGATCATACGTGTATATATAAACTGAGGGTTATGGAGATTGAAGTGTTTGGTGAACAATGAAACGCGTAGTGAATAATATAGCTTTTTTATATGTAAAAGACTTCATCGTCATGAGTTTCATGGTCACTTCATATATCAAACGTTGCAATTAATACGTTTCTCTCTTTGTCTCTGCATATATACATATACAGCGAAAATTCGAAAATTCGAAAATTCGAAAATTAGTTTTTTAATGTGCCTATGTCCACAACCCAACGATGATATATGACATTTTTCTATAGTATAAACCATTTTTTCTCTAGTTTGAAAATATATACGCTCAATCTTATGTGACATTTCAATCTAGCCCTATTTCATCTGATACCTAAAATTGTTCTTAAGATTTAGGGTAGATGTACTTTTCTGTTTTTAATTTTATCCTAGTTTAATCTGAGACACAAATTAATAATGAGAACACAAATTAATAATATCAATTAGTTTGAGGCTCCGGTAAGTATTTCTATACTTCTGAAATGTACAGCATGAACATAAAGAAACTCACATGTATAATGATTATCGTTTAATAAGTAACATGGAAAAATATTCCTTTACCGTAAAGGCTTTACGTAATGCGAGATTCGTGGCCATTTCGCGTGGAGAAGCTTGTGACAATGCAACTATATGAATAATAATATCGGATCTTCATCATGTGTATGTATATTATTAGGCATATATTATATAATTGCTTATTGGATAATTAATGAGTTAGTTAGGTTCTTGATTATTGACTATTCTTAGTCGTACCCAATGCCATCACGAAAACCTTAACCATTCAACCTCGTGGTCCTCACTCGTCCCATAGTTTAAGCGACGTGTCTCTAAAAGATTTTATCATTAGTTTTAATCATGTAATCAAATTTTATAGTTACGTATATGCTATACTTATATTCATGTAGAATTGCGTTTTATATTTGAGTTAGATCATGCAAAAAAAGGAAAAACCACTCTCTTATAAGGAAAAAAAATGTGAAAACATGGAAGGAACAAGCTGGCCACGTCTATTCACATTACATCTAGTATTTTATATTCATGCAACGTGTTTTTTGCTAGTTTTATAATATATTTTTGATAAAGGCTAGTTTTATAATATTGTTTTTTTTTTTTTTTTTTTTTTTTTTTTTTTTTTTTTTCAAATGGTGTTAACTATCACTTCATTTAAATATAATATTTATGCTTAAGTTTCGATTATACTACTAAGTCTACTATAACAAATTTACAACAAGACTACTCAAAAATGTAAAAATTCTTCACAATTTTCTACGTTCATTTTTCGCAAATAAAAGTAATACAACCGGTGTTAGATAGTCAACGATTTGTCTAATTTATATAAAATTTTAGATTTAGAAATTTACTATGGGAAAATTGGCAATTTACCCCAAATTAAGCCACTCTTGTCCCTATACACCTTTTTTGAAATTGGTTATTTTTGGTCCGAATTGCCCTTTGATTTTTCTAGAAACTCTAATAAATGTTTTTAAAGTAAAAAAAATTCCATAAATTCCTAAAAATGATCTCAAGACTGTGTAAAATATTTCAAATTTTTGAAAATGTTATATATTTTAAAAAATATTTGAAGTTTTGTTCTACAAATCGATAATATCAAAGTAGAATTCGTTTTCTACAAGATATTCGGAATCTAACGGTCCGTAGAACATAATATCTACAACTTATTCATACCTCTTCCAGACGACAATATCTACCAATACTATAAGATCTACTTTTGTAGAAGTTGCACCAACTATCTTCTACACAATCAAGTATCGTTCTACTACTCGTAGATTCAAGTTCTACGTAAACATTGCTATCTACAAATAGTAGTTTTCGTATTTACGTGTTTGTGTGTAATCTACGACCGCAGAAGTAGCGTTCTACTAAAACTTGTTTTCTACTATCGCGTTCCTACGACACAGTCTAGCAAAATCACTTTCTACTTTTAGTAGAAGTCATGTTCTACGAAAATCGCGAAAATATAGCAACTGAATATTTTTCAAATCTTTCTTTCTTTTTTTCCTCCAACTATCCCAAATTAAACCGCGACACAACCCTCACGTTCTTCCTTCCTCTTCTTCCTTCATCTCCTTCCTCCTCCTTAATCCTCTATCTTTAATATGGTGCAAGTATATGTAGCTTGTGGTTCATGGAAAAGGTGTGCAATCAATGGGTGGATATTTGTTGCTGATGAGGAAAGAGGAGGTCGAGTAGTTAGTTTGGAATCCAGTACTACGTTTTGAAGAACTAATAGTGATTGTTTAGAGGATTTCTCAATCGAGGGCGGATTCGACGTCGAGTTTAGCTACTTGCCACGCGGTTTGATCAATAATACTGTATCTCCCCGAGTTGTGATTTCGAATGATCGTCAAGTGCAAAATTTCGTGGGTTACATCCGGAAGCAGGAGTCCAAACAGTTGTGTTTGACACTTAAGGATCCCAATGGTAATATGGAGTGAACATTGACGAATTGGTGATCTTGGTAGTGTACCTCCAAGTGATGGGATTATCCCGGTGAAAGATGAGATCAACAAAGGGAAAAGGAAAATCAATGATGATGAGGAAGTATTGTCTCAAAAGGAAATTGATTATGATAATCAATTTCGGTGGCGTTGGTGGAAGCTGTGAAGGTTAAGCAAGAATTCAGATGCAAGAATCAGTTGAATCCACTTTCGAAATCCTTGCAATGAAGCACAACTTCGACTACAAGGTTCCAAATCAGATAGGAAGTTTTGGACAGCTCGGTGTGTGGTAAAAAGAATGCATTGGCGTTCGAGCAGCGAATCTAAAGGGTACCACCTTGTTTGTCATCAAGAAGTATGTGGGTGAACATACTTGTGCTCCTTCAGTAAAACCAAAAATGGTAGGACAGCCTCTGCCAAAACAATTGGCAATCTCATTATGCAGAGGTATGAAGGTGTCAAAGAAGGACCTAAACCAAATGACATTATACAGCTGATGCGTACAGAGCACGGATGCAAGATTTCCTACGATCTAGCATGGGAGGCACGCGAGTATGCTGTCAATTGTGTGAGAGGTATACCAGAGGAGAGTTATGGTAAAAATACCAATGTACTTGCACATGGCAAAGAAGCTAATCCGGGTACTCATACTGCTTATAAAACTGATCCTGATGGTAGTTTCAGATACATGTTCATTGCTTTTGGTCAGTCAATTAGAGGCTTCCACAAAGTGATGCGGCAGGTCATCGTTGTTGATGGTACATTCTTGAAGAATAAATACAGGGGAACACTACTAGTTGCTACAGCTTTAGATGGTAACTCTAATTTGTATCCATTAGCATTTGGTGTGGTTGATTCAGAGAATGATAACTCATGGGAATGGTTTTTGAGGCAGCTGCATGTTGTTATTGAGGATGACTACACTTGGCTTTTATCTCAGACAGAAATCCATCCATTGGTAGAGCAATACGTATTGTCTACCAACGAGCAAGCCATGGAATCTGCATCCACCATTTGCTGAACAATGTCATCTCCCATCACATGGAAAAGGTGTGGCTGGTCTGGTTGCAAATGCTTCTAAGGCATACAGAATTGCTGATTTCCAGAGGATAATGACTGATGTGTGTAAGAACAGACCATGTTGCAAGATATCTAGTGAAAGCTGATGTGAAAAAGTGGGCTCGTGTCTTTTTGTTGGATACAGGTACGACATTAGGACAACTAACCCAGCTGAGTCCTTAAATTCAGCATTGAGATCACCTAGAGAGTTCCCAGTAATCCCTCTACTGGACAGCATCAGAGAAATGTTGACAAGGTGGTTCTATGAGCGCAGACATTGAGCTCAAAGCATAACCACCCTCTAACCGAGGCTGTTGAGATGAAGATTACAGAAGGAATTGAAAAGGGTAAACAGTTTACAATTCAGCAGATTGATGCAAATCGATTTGTGGTTGGCGGTGACATCTACCAATGTGTGGTTGATTTGGCGAAACGAACATGTACTGTGCCAAGTACGATCTGCAGAAAATTCCCTGTAGGCATGCAATCAGAGCTATTTTCTTGATAGGAAAGCAACCACATGAATACAGTGATGACTGTGTTCAAAACTGAGTTCTGGAGAGTAGGGTATGAGGAAGCTATTAACCCAATGGGTGTTCCTGAGGATGCATGGTGTGTTCCAGAAGATCTTGAAGACGAATTGTTTCTTGTCCTGAATCACGCAGAGCTGCTGGTAGGAGAAGAAAACGACGATTTGAAACAGTTGAGGACAAGATAAGGTCGCACAAAAAGTTAAAAAGATACACAAGTGCAGTCGATGTGATAAGCCCGGCCACAACAGAGCAACCTGTGATATGCCTATATAGTTGGAGTGAATGTATGTTCTCTTTCCAGCCCTATGAACCTTTGTTATTACGCCTTCTTGTGGTAATTGTTGTGAGTTTGGTGGATCTTGCTGATTTTGTAGGTTGCTCAAAGAGAGTATGGGGAACATGGAGCTAAGGATATGAGGAGGTTAGTGCTGGAGTGGTGCCTCGGACATAGGTTTGCTTTCTTATGGTGCAATATGGTCTTTGTTTGTTTAAGCAATGGATAAGACATCTAGTTATATGCTTCTCCTTATGGTGTTATTTTGATTCACATTTCAGCTTTCTAATGTCAACAATATAGTCTTTGTTTGTTTAAGCAATGGATAAGACATCTAGTATTATGCTTCTCCTTATGGTGTTATTTTGTTTCACGTTTTAGCTTTTTAATGGCAAGGGTGTAGTCTCTGTTTGTTTGAGCAATGGATATGGTAAATGACATCATGTGCTCTATAGTTTAAGAAATTTTTTTTAAGAAAATGCAGAACCATCACCATTACACTAAGTCAAGTGCGACAACACCAGACCAAAACGAGAATCACTTGGTGACAGTACCAAATACAACAAATACCAAATGCCAATTACATTAACCACTCGATTCTCGAGTCAAGGTGCTATGAAGAAGAAGAACAAAACCACTCCCAAACCACACACAATCATGTTTCTGCAACAATTCAGGCCAGACTTAAGCTCTTGTATCTCTTCTGCACGACAACTGACAACTGCTTTAAGCTCTTCAATCTCTTTCACACATCCTTCTGCAAGTGTTTTGATATCTTTAACGTCATCTCCAAAATGATTTGCGACAGCCTCACAAGTCCTAGTTTCCATTGCTAGGTTATCAATCTCTTCTTCCATCTTCTGAAGCAGACTTTGAACCTCTTCCATCTCCTCAACCATTGACACGTCCGTCCATTTGAACAAATGGTTTTTTCTCTGCAACGAAAATCCACATTCCTCAAATCAAAACAAGCTCCATTCTCTATCCTAAATGGTATTTTTATAAATACGATCGATCATGAACCTTACCTCTTTGGAACGAAACGGACATATATAGAACAGTCTCCCCGGATTGGGAATTGTTTCTGAAGTTAACTTACCTCAAAGACGTGCTTCTTCCTTATTGTCTCGATGCTAATCAGGCCATGGCTCTTTAACAGCCTACTCCAGAAACCACCATCGTCGACCCACTCATCGAGGTTGTAGTTACCATCGTCTATGCACTTGAGCCCCGTGACAGCATGATATTCCTGCATCGAGAATCTAAGAGGTCTCCTTGCAAACACAAACCAGAGCTCATGTTTTTTGGCTGTAATAAGCTGCCTTGTCAGTACAGTGTGCACCAATTTTGCAGAGAAATGAAGCCGGTTCTCGTAGCGAGAACATTCAATATCGACATCCTTGCACACTTGTTTATCTTCTCAGCTAGTGGTTCGGCTCCTTCTTCAAACAATCTCTTAGGTAACTCGGAATCCATAGCTGCGATTAAGGGTAACAATAGTTAGGAATTAAATAAGAAAACAAGAAGACAAGAAGACAAGAGCCTGAATAATACAGCGCATAAGAGTTTCACGACTAGTTTAACAACAAAGAGCAGCGCATAAGAGTTTGAAAAAAAGCAACGAGACTATAAATATTTCTTGATCAGTGAGAATAATAGAGACATCATCAGAATAAAAAGTGAGGAGTGAGGCCAAATAATACGAAATGATTGAATTTTCATATGCCAATGTAGTGACCAATGATTTAGCAAACAAGAGTAGGAAACCTATAACAATATGACATAACCTTACAAGTACAAAAGCAAAAATTTGACAAATCAAGAGAAAATCATCACACATAACAAAACCACCATAGACAGAAAGTTCCCTATGTCATCAAAAATATCCACATAACTATCTTAAGCATTACAAACGAAATGTACCGTTGATGAGACTGAAGTCTAATATAGCTTCGAACATAACAATGTCAACCATAACTAGAACAATATCATTCTCAAAAAGATGTGGCAATAAATGAACAAAAAGTCAGATCTATGCGTTCATATGCAAGCCCCAAATAAAATTTCATGTAAGAGAACTTTCACAAACAGCAATTGTAAATAATATAATCCTCAATTGTAAATTTCCACGATCTACACTTCATAAAAGACACCCAAGAAGCGAACATACATTTGGAGAAAACAAACTAACCTTGTCTCTAAGCAGAAGATGTCAATCGCGGAGCAGAAGTAATCGCGGAGGAGTAAGAATCAAAGAGCAGAAGCAATCGACGAGCTGAAGGAATCGACGAGCTGAAGGAATCGACGAGCAGAAGGAATCGCGGACTACTAAGGAGAAGAAGAACAGGTGACGGTGAATGATAGAGCAAGGAAAGACTTCTATGGAGAGCAGAGATGGTGGAGACGGAGAAAACGGCTAAATCGATTGAGATTGGGGATTAGGTTTTCGATCGCCTCCGGCGCCGTCGTGGAAGAAAGAGAGAAGAAGTTTTGTTTCGTGTCGGTTTAGTTTTTAATTATCTCTTTATTCTTAATTTGTCTTTTTATTTATTGTATCTTAATTTTTATTTTTAAAAAATAAATTTATAAAACGAAAATTTCCACAAAACGAAATGAAGGGCAATATGAAAAAAAAAATTTAAAAAAGGTTATCGGGACAAAACACATTTCAAAAGGTGTATAGGGACAAGAGTGGCTTATTTTTGAGGTAAATTGCCAATTTTCCCATTTATTATTGGCAAATTATCTAACAAAAATGTCAGGTTATAAAAAATTGTAAAATATGGTTTAGATTTCAAATCATTTTAAAGAAAAATTCATCTTAATCAACAACCTAAGATATCCATGCAATAATCTCACCAAAACAGCTACAAAAACAATAATCACACACCAACAAAACAATCTCAACTTAGACCAATCAATAGACCAGAAGAAAAGACACAGCTAAGCTCTAGCTTACAGTTGAGAACACAACTTCAAGCTCGTTGTGACCTCCTTTGTCCTCCTCTTGCCACAACCATTTTCGACAAAACCTCTTCAAGATACTCACAACGGTCTCTATGGTGATCAGTCCATACACACAACTGCCTTATCGCTTCTCTCTTCTCTTCTCCTAATCCCAAAAACATCTCCTTCAACTTCTCCTTCTCTTCTTCCTCTTCTCTCACTCTACCTTCAAGCTTCTTCTCCATCTCTTCCTTCTCCTTCTTCATCTCCATCACACACTTCTTCGCCCTCAACAACATCTCCGTCGCTTCAACCACCGTTTCCTCATAGCCTCCATGCTTCTCCTCAACTTTCTCAGACATAGACTGAAACCGGTTTAGTATCCTCGAGTTCACTCTCTCTGAGATCTCTTTGATCATACCTTGATATGTTTCCTCCAGCAATGCTTCTTTCTCTAAATTCTTAGCTTCCATCTTCTTCATCTCCTCTTCTTTCTCCCTAAGCACTTGCTCTGTTATCCTCAGTTTCTGGTTAGACAAACGTAGCTTAACCTCAATGTCATTCATCTTCTCCATCAAACTCTCAATCTCATCTCCTTTCATCTCCACTTGGTAACGCATACTCTCCATCATCCCTTCTAGTTTCTCAATCTTACCTTCCCTCGATGAAATCACGTGCATTCTCCTCTCTGTCTCCTCCAGCTTCGACATGTACTCTTCCAACATCTCCCTGGCTTGATTGTAATCATCAGTCAGCTTCTTGATCGTTGCTTCTCTTTCTTTAAACAAACTGTTGACCTGTTTGTGTTCTTGGCTCAGCGTGTTGTAAGCAGCTTCTTGCTCTAGCAATGCCATCTGCACATCGTTGATCTGATTCAGCAGCGCCGGTTTCTCTTGCCTCTCTCTCTCGAGCTCTGCTTCGGTTTCGTTCTTCTGAGCTTGTAGACGGTCCATGTCAGAAACTTCTTGAGACTTCTTGTCAAGCTCTGCTTCCAATCCATCTCTCTCTTTCTTCACATCTTCAAGCTTCTGACTCAGATCGGATTCCTTCTCGCCAGCAGCTTCCAGCTTCTGGTTCAGTTCTTTGTTCTCAGCTGCTAACTTCTCAGCTTCACGTCTCAGATCAGCTATTTCAAGATTTGCAGCTTCGATCTGTTTCTTCACCGACTCGTTTCTCTTGCTCTTGTCATCTGAATCCGAGTCTGAGCTGGAAGAAGAAGAGCTCTCCTTCTCTCCTTTCCCATGAACTTGATTCCTGATCTCACCAGTGAGATCATCGTACTGGCGATACAAGGACTCATACTCTCTGTAGAAGTCTTTCACTAAATCTGCAACCACTGCTCTTTTGGACTCATCTTCATCAATGTCTCCACTCTCAACAATTCCCAAGATTTTCTTCACTTTTTCATCCATTTCTGCATTAATGATCAAAGTATTTACTATGAGTGACCTATGGATTATGATCTTAATGGTAAATAAAAAAGCAAGCAAACAAACAAAGTGTATGTATGTAGAGAGAGAAGAAGTTACCTGTCTTTGTTCCTTTGAGCAATTCAACATTATCAGGATGAAGATGAGGCTCAAAGAAAGATTTCAACGAGTCTCTAATACTAAGCTTTCTCATCTCTTCTTCAGTCTCTCCAATCAATCAAAGACCACAATCTATCTGTTTTTACACAATTTCACAGAGAAGACATGTGAGAAGAAACTCTTAACTTGTTGAAAACAAAGGGATGTGTTAAATTGAAAAAGATACTATCATTGCAAACAAAAGATATCATTTTCACTTGTTCAGGAAAGTATCAAACCAAGATTTAGTAAACAAATATAAAATCTGAGCCGACTTCAGTTGGATGGTAACCTAAATGAAATAAAGAAGTAGATGATTCAATTGGAGCCTGACATGAACCAAATATTACTTTTATGGCATAAAGGTATGATCCGTTTAAGACAGATGGATTCATTCTCTGGTAATAAAAGTAAACAAATCTTGTTTGAGGTAAGAAACTAACAAAAGAAACATATCCTCAAAAAATACAAGTAGATACTCTTCCACCACAAATGATACAACCTCAAATGCATTTTCACATCAGTATTAAGATCTTTTTCAAAGATTACAAACCTAAACATCCAAAATTGCTAATCAATTTACAGCAATGGATCAATAATAACAAACCTAAATATCAGTATAGAGATTCATACCAATGAGATAGTTTTCACAGATTACAAACCTAAATATCAGTATTAAGATTCATACAAATGGGATAGTTTTCACAGATTACAAACCTAAATATCTAATACTCTATTAAAGAAATCATGTGGTCCTAAGTTAAGAGATGTGTATAAGTAAATGGATGCAGAAAGTGGAGGCCACCGGAGCAACTTTTAGGGGAAAGCAAACAGAATGATTTAAAAAGACAGCTATCAACATCATATCATCACCATATGCGTTTGTTTCTTTCATGTCTCTTCTCTCTTATGCCCAAAAAACAATAATAGAGTGGTACTTAAATTAGGTAGCCAAGTAAAAAAGTTGAGATTTTTTTGTATTATGAGCAATCAAAATGGGAATTTGGATAAACCAATCGCGAAATCTTCATGTATATTGTAAGAATTTTGTGATTAATTGAATCGAATCCAGCTCTTAGCGAGGAAATTGAGAAACATGAACAGATTGTAGAAAAAAAACATGAATCAGAATCAGTCATCGAAAAAATCTCATAGAGGAATATCAAAGCGCATAACTTGATCTAGACTACGAACTCAATAATGAAAATCACACACACAATTTCAAACAAAATTCAAAAACTAAACAAGTTACCGATTCGAAACAGAGAAATTGAAACTAGGTAAGCAATCGTTTGTAATTCCCTGGTGATCGGAGAATATACCTGGAAAAAGGAGCTCCGATGATGAGTCGGTGAGTGACAGAAAGCGGAAGCTAGAGAAAAAAAAAACAAACGAAAATGAGATATCTGCGAGAAATTAAATAAAAATTGGGTCAAATTAGATTCAAAGCGACTAAATAAGGAAAGAGAGGAGAAAAGTTGTTGGGCCTTTGGACTTCAGAGGAATAATTTTTTTACCACTTAGATTCGATTTTTACCACTCAGTCATAAATGTTTCATTTTTGACCACTTTGTTTTTTGCAACCTAACAAAAAAGATGCATGAACAAGTATCTGGATCTCTAAGCTGTCAAGACTCATGAAACAATCTAGAGAGATTATTACTTCTTATACACATTTTCTTACATTCATGTTACAATATAGGATAGATACTTCCTACATCTAAGGCACTTTGTATAAGGTTAAGGAGACACTGTATTAGGTTAATGACTAAACATACACATTTGAAGAAAACATAAAAGTTTGAGTTCATAAAAGTTCATGCAAGTCTTCCTCAAATCAGTTTGAGTTCATTAAACATAAACACTTTGTGTTTTTCTTCTTTTTGAGTTCATAAAAGTTCAACAAGTCTTCCTCATATCAGTTTGTTAATCTAATATCATAACCCAACAAACCAACTAGCTTTAGTTCAGTTCATTGCAGGATAAAGCTTGAGGACGACCAGCCATTACCAACTGATCGAGGAGCAGTAGCTTGAGAAGAGCCCTTCTAGTGACCAAACCGTTCTTTGCTTGTCTGAAGTAGGCAGCTCTTTGCTTCACACAATTAAACTGCCATAAACTCTCATCCGCCCTAAACCCTATATGCCCCCAAAACCTCACCCGGCCTCACGACCCTCTAGATAATTTTTGTAATATTATGGATTCATCCACCATTTCTAAAAGCCTAATTCGTTTTTATATTTCAAAAAATATAAATGAAATGTGTCTAATAATATAATTCTAAAACAGTGGATTATATAATGTAAAGTATAAATGTTTTTTAACCAAAATGTTTTTGAGGTATATTGAGTAGATATTTTTCATAACTTATAAATCCTAAACCCTTATTTGACCTAACCAATTTTTTTTTAACCATACTATTTGGTTGTTGTGGATCACAATAATGTATTAAGAAGTAAAACAGTAAAGTAAAACAGTAAAGTAAAACAATAATGTATACTAAAGGGTTTATGGCAGATTAGGTTTTACCCTCATCCACCCTAAAACCTAATTTGCCCTAAAACCTAATTCGCCCTAAACCTAATCCGCCCTAAAACCTAATTTGCCCTAAAACCCTCATGCGCCCTAAAACCTAATTTGCCCTAAACCCTCATCTATCCTAAACCCTATATGCCCTAAACCTCAGCCGGCCTCACTACCCTGGTTGTTCTGTCATAAGTCTAGTTTTGCAAGAATTCAATAATTTTTGTAGTAGTATTATGGATTCATCCACCGATTGTATTATTGATTTATATTTCAGAAAATAATCAATGAAATGTGTCTTCTAATCATATAATTCTAAATAGTTGATTATATAACGAATATTACAATTGTATTTTAAACCAAAATGTTTTTGAGGTATATTGAATAAATAATTTTCTCACAAATCCTAAACCCTTATTTGACATAACCAAAATGTTCTTTGGATCACCATCAAGGCAAATCCTCAGTGATTTCAATATCTTCACATAATTAAACTGCCTGATCAATCCGCTTTGAGAAGAGCTTTTTACAATATTTTCCATTTCACGTGCAATGTCAAATATATAGCGCTCTATGCATCTCTCTATCAAATTGCTGCCTGTCAGTCACATGACTAAGCTGAAATTTGTTCCCAGCCATAAACAAAGCTTCTTCTTCCCTACTAGTCTCAACTTGCAAAGCATGACACTTGATTTCTTGCACATTTCGGGTCAGATTCAAAGGAGAAATCTTTTTGGGAAATGAAGTTAAGAAGCAAATCTGAGAAAATTGATACATTTTGAGACTTTTGTAAAAAAAAATGAATGAAATGTGTTTAAAGTGAAATTTAATTGATCCAATCATTTTTTATTGTAAAAAAGTGTCCAAGAAAGCCAAACAAAACACTATTTCAAAATTATGAAAATCTCAAAGGTGTTAGCCCACAAATTCTGAGAAAATTGATGCATTTTGAGGTTTTTGTAAAACATTGAATGAAATGTGTCTAAAGTGAAATTTAATTGATCCAAAAATTTTTCATTGTAAAAAGTGTCCAAGAAAGCCAAGCAAAACACTATTTCAAAATTTGGAAAAACTCAAAATAGTTAGCCCACAAATTCTGAGAAAATTGATGCATTTTAAAGTTTTTGTAAATTAATGAATGGAATGTCTCTCAAGTGATATTAAATTGATCCAACCATTTTTCAGTGTAAAAGAGTGTCCATGGAAACCAAATAAAATATTATTTAAAAAAACTCAAAGGTGTAGGTCCACAAATTCTTAGAAAATTGATGCATTTTGAGGTTTTTGTAAACAAATGAATGGAATGTGTCTAAAGTGAAATTTAATTGATCCAACCATTTTTTATTGTAAAGAGTGGCCAAGAAAGCTAAACAAAACACTATTTCAAATTTGGAAAATCACAAAATTGTTAGCCCACAAATTTTGAGATTTTTGGTAAAAAATAAATGAAATGTGTCTAAAGTGAAATTTAGTTGACCCAATCATTTTTTTATTGTAAAAGAGTGTCCAAGAAAGTTAAACAAAATATTTTTTCAAAATTTTCAAAATTTGGAAAAACTCAAAGGTATTATTAGCCCACAAATTCTGAGAAAATTGATGCATTTTGAGATTTTAGTAAATTAATGAGTAGAATGTGTTTAAAGTAATAATAAATTGTTGCAACCATTTTCAAATGTAAAAGAGTGTCCAAAAAGCCAAATAAAATCCTATTTCAAAATGTTCAAAATTTAGAAAAACTCAAATGTGTGTTAACCCACAAATTCTGGAAAATTGATGCATTTTGAGGTTTTTGTAAATTAATGAGTGAAATGTGTCTAAAGTCATATTCAATTGTTCCAACCATTTTCCAGTGTAAAATAGTGTCCAAGAAAGCCAAATAAATTTTTTTTTTCAAATTTTTCAAAATTTGGAAAAACTCAAAGGTTAGCCCACAAATTCTGAGAAAATTGCTGTATTTTGATATTTTTGTAAATTAATGAGTAGAATGTGTCTAAAGTGATATTAAATTGTTCCAACCATTTTCCAGTGTAAAAGAGTCTCCAAGAAAGCCAAACAAAATACAATTTCAATATCTTCAAAATTTGGAAAGAGTCTAAGGTGTTAACCCACAAATTCTGAGAAAATTGATGCATTTTGAAGTTTTTGTAAACAAATGAATGGAATGTGTCTAAAGTGAAATTTAGTTGATCCAACAATTGCCAAGAAAGCCAAATAAAACACTATTTCAAAATTTTCAAACTTTAGAAAATCACAAAGGTGTAAGCCCACAAATTCTGAGAAAATTGATGCACTTTGAGATTTTTGTTAAAAATGAATAAAATGTGTGTAAAGTGAAATTTAATTGAATCAACCATTTTTTATTTTAAAAGAGTGTCTAAGAAAGCAAAAAAAAAACACTATTTCAAAATTTTCAAAATTTGGAAAAACTCAAAGGTGTTAACACTCAAATTCTAAGAAAAATGATACATTTTGAGATTTCTGTAAATTAATAAGTGAAATGTGTCTAAAATGATATTAAATTGTTCCAACCAT